GGTCTAGCTCCCTGTTCTCCTCAAATCTCTGATGGGCTGTGCTGGGTCGGGGGCACCCGGGACTGATGGGGCCCCCAAGGGTACTCAGCCCACACTAAGGGGTGCTCGTTGGCAAGAAGGATTGTTTGGTTGAGGTTTGCACTTTTGAGCAAGTGTGCGGAGGGAGAGCTCTGTCTGTCCCCTTACTTAATCGAGAAGGAGGCACGGGCTTCCACTGGTCCCCTTTCCAAATGCTGAGAGTTGGTCCTATTAGACCAGCTGGAACCAGAACCAGCTCTTGCCCCCAGACTCACTGGGGCAATGCTGGAGAGTAGCGCATGGGTTCTGGGGTCAGCCAGACCTGGGTTTGAGCTCTAGCTTGGCCTACAAGCTCTGTGACTTTGGGCATGTGACTAAATCTCTCTGAACGTCTGGGTCCCCAGAGAGGGGATGGTACCTACCTCAGAGAGTGCTGGGCAAAGGGCCCGGCCCTTGGGAAGCCGTGGTATATGGCAACTGCTATTTTTGAAGGGACAAGGGCCACTTATGCCCCTGGGGAAAAGAAGAGTTGGAGCCCACTACGGCGCCTCCTTCCTTCCCGAAGAAGCTGCCTTTAGTAGAGCAGTCCCCCTGCTTCTCCGCAGTTCCAGTTACTCGTGGTCAACTGCCGTCCAGAAGCAGATGACCCACCTTCTGAATTAGCCTAACGCCATTAGTTATCGTTAATCTCTTACTGTGACGCATGTACAAGTTAAACCTTATCATCGGTTTGCAAGGACAGGGAAAAACATAGTACACGTAGGGCTCAGCACTACCTGCAGTTTCAGGCGTCCACTGGGGGTCTCAGAACGTGTCCTCTGTGGCTGGGGGGGACCCCTGTTACCACAGGTTAGCAGTTAGTTGTTGTCGAGCACTTCCTGTGCGCCAGTCACCATTCTGAGGGTCTCAGGAGTCTTAACCTGTTCAATCCAGACAACTCAATACCCTGACGAGACAGGAATTCTTAGCATGTCCGATGTCACAGGTGCTACGAGGAACATCTGGAACTCAAACCCAGGCGGCCAGACTGCCACTTGGCACTTTAACCACCAGCCTCTTGCTCGGGCAGCCCTCTGGCCCGCCTCCCCGGTCCCCTCTTCATCTGGGCACAGGGTTTCACCCCACCTCTGAAAGCCCCCTGGCTCAGGAGTTGGCCTCGGTTTCCTCATCTGAGCACAAAGGGACCTGGATGAGCTGGTCCCCATGGGCCATGAGAATGGGTGACTGGTGCTGTGCATGAAGGTGTGTTGTGAACTGGACACAGGGTTTCTGGTGGAGAAGCATGGCTGCCAACAAGCCTCTTTTGCAAGCGGGGAGGGGGCCGGCTCTGTGGGCTCTTGCATGCGTGGTGAAGCCCCGTGGGGCCTGTCTAGACAGGCCGTCAGGAGATGGCAGCCACCATGGGCTCTTTCCCCCGAATTCCTGCAGATGATCTGGCAGGCGGCCTCTGCTTGGAGCATATTGCCTACTGCCGGGCTGGGGGGCAGGCCACGTGGGGAGGGCCTGCTCCTGCCCCAGCGCCTTCCGGATGCTCTGCAACTTGGTGCATGCAGGGCACATTTCTAGATACCCATGTGGACAGTGGTGAACAGCATTTTTGTTTTTTCCTTTCATTCTTTTTTTTTTTTTTTTTAAAGATCTAGGCCCAACGTGGGGCTTGAACTCACGACCCTGAGATCAAGCATTGCATGCTCTCCTGACTGGGCCAGCCAGGTGCCCTCCTGTCATTCTTTATTATACAAATTTGATAGAGAAAATAAAATGTGTTAACATATATACTTCAAGAAATCTGACAATTTTAAGTGTGGTCAAGGAGGGGGATGTTCATATGCCGCTGGGAGGAGTGTAACTTGGTTCAACCACTTTGGAAAATAAAATGGCGCTCTCCTGTAAAGTTGACAGGCATGTACCCCAGAACCCAGCAATCTCTCTCTCTAGGTATCGATTCCAGAGAAACTCTGGCTCCTGGGCACCGGGAGACATGGACAAAAATAGTCATAATAACAACAGTCAGAAAAAGCCTTTATCACAGTTTTTTGCACGACCCCATGGCCCTGAGCCCTGGGGACCGTTCACTTGGAAAGTTGCCGTTGAGGCAGGGCCCAGGCGTAGCCCAGCAGGGAGGACCTCAGAGACCTCTCCTTAGCTCCTTGAGGGAATCAGATACAGCCCCGAGGGTCTGTGGCACACTGGGCCTGGAGCTTTCTATTCCTCAGGGCTATGTGTACCAGCAATTCCCCACAACTGGCCAGTCTGGGTAAGGGCTGATTTTGCTCAAAGAGCTGCGGGGTGGTTCTTAGGCACCAGCAACAAGCAAGGCCTTTTCCTTCGTGGGACAGCCCCGGGGCTGGAGGGAAAGCAGTGGCCGTGAAGCTAACTGGAACACTTGGATGCAAGTTCTGGCGAGGTCACCCCCTTAGCCTCGTCTCCTCTCTGAAGTGGGGTTCCTCATCACTGCCCTCAGAGGGGTCGTGGTGGGCAGGCTAAGAGCAAACATTTTGGAGTTGCAGACTGGGTTCACATCCCCTCTGCCACTTTCTAGTCATGTGACCTTGGGTAAGCTCCAGTGGTTTACTTCTCTATAAATTAGGGATAAGGGAGCGATGCTGAGTCCTGCCTCTCGGTAATCCTAGGAGGACCAAATGATACCACAAGCCATTCAGCCTGGTACCTGGCTCCCAGGAAATCCTCCATGTACATTCATGAGGTACTTTGGAGGGTCTGCAGGAAGTTCTGGGGTGGAGTGGCCGAGGGGCAGGGCAGGGGATGGGAGAGCCCTGGGGAGAGAGCAGCTGGGGCAGGTGGCACAAGACAGTGTGACCTTAGGCAAAGCCACTTCACCTCTACACCTCAGTTCCCTCATCTGTACCATGGGAATCATGATTACATCTACGTCACAGGGTTGTTGTGATGATTAAGTGAATGCATTCTCGTAAAGGCCTTCGGGAATGCCCAGAAAGTAACAATCGCGAGAGAATTCTCCTACCCACACCACCACCATGGAGCGCAGGGCTGAGCAGAGCAGCTGCCTCGGTCCCCACCCTGTCATCAGCTCTCTGTGAGACCTAGAGCAGCGCTCTCTCATGGTGGATCCAGTTGTTTCAGCTGTGTCTGCGAGGGTCCCTGCAGACAGCCTGCTTGACAGCCCAACATTCTCAAAACTCCACGTGTGTCGGAATTCTCCTGGGAGCTGGAAATGCAGATTTCTGGGGCCCCACCCAGGACTCCCTGTCAGCGGATGAGTATACAGCGGCTCAGACCTCACCCTGAGGGACACATTGCCCACACAATGTGCTGTAAATGCAGGAGAGGAGACCTCACCTAGCCTTTTAGGCATCTCAAGCTGATCCCTCTTCTGTACCCCTTCATCTCTGACCTTTGAACTGAGGCCTCCTGCCCCTTTTCAGACCCTGTTCTCCCTTTAGCAACTCTGAGCACTCTCTGTCTGGGTCTCATTCCTACTTCTCTCTAGACATAGCTAAGGTCATCTCGCCCCTCAAGAGGAGGAGGCTCTGGTGGTAACGTAACACCAGCCCCACTGACCCTGATCTTGTGGGCCTATGTCCCTCACTCTCCATGATAACCAAGCAGTGTTAGAACCAAGACCAGACCCATTTTGTAGAGGAGGAAGCTGAGGCTCAGGGATGGCAAGTGACTTGCCCAAGGTCACTTGTCCGATATGTAAACAAGCCAGAATTGGACCCAGGCAGTTGGATTCCAGAGTTTCCTTTTGGACCATTATGGCCTCAGGCCTTATGTGACCAGAGTGGGGCAGGTGAGGGTGTTGAGTGGGCTAGCGCTGGAGGATTGTGTCCGCTCTGGGCCCCAGATGTGGCCAGAGCATGTTTGTAGGAGCCATGTTGTCTACACGCCTTCCAGTGCTGATCCCTAGCCTCTACCCCTACACAGCCTGGCTTTCCATGTCTCCTGCCTTCCTCTGAGGCCCCCACCACGCCGTGTCACCCCTCCTGAAACCCTCTGCTCTCCGTTCTAGCTTCATCCCACTCTGAGGCCCTGCACCTCCTGATCCAGAGATCAGCCCTTTCCCCACCAGAGGCTGCAGCGGTGGGGGTTCGGGGGCAGGCTCATCCTGAGGCCTTAGGCCTGTGGGCTGGTCCTCCCCTGGCCGAGCCTGTAGTCAGAGACCATTTAGCTCCTTTCTGTCACTTGAGGCTCAGCCTCTGAGAGCTTCCATGGGCTTCAGGCATCTGCTTGGGCTCTGAGCCTCTGGTCAAAGGGCAGACTCAGCTCAGGGACTCCAGGGGAAACTTCCCGACGCCGGCTGTCTTTCAGGCTCCAATAGGGCTCAAGAAGCTACATCCTACATGGAGACCACACTGTCCAATGGTTTCATGGTCCAGATGGCCCAGAGAGGGCAGGGTGCCTGCCCAAGGCCACAGGGCCAGGCAGCGGGAGGCCGAGCTGGGGCTGGAGCGCACGTCCCCCTCCCCTGGCCAGCACCCTGGCCTGCCTGCCTCTCTGCCTGTCTCCTGGAGCCTGAGTGGACATAGCTTTGCCTCCAGCTTTGCTTCTTAAAACCCTTATTTGAAAACAGTTTTCCTTGCCAGGAGCCCCAGGCTCTCAGAGCTGTGAAATCAAACCTCACAGAACAAGGAAGAAGCAGTGTCTCCGGAGGAGCCAGGGAGACAGACGGGCCCAGACTTGGGCATGGCAGTGAGGCTGGGGCCGGCGGCCGGCAGGACATTACCACCCGCCGCTCCCTCTGCTCCCAGCGCCATTTAACCACAGCCACCAGGAGTCCTCCCGGCCTAGAGGACCGCAGGGCAGGGCAGGACGGGCACTTAGAGATCATCCAGTCCAGCCCCTGTGCAGATGGGGAAACTGAGGCCCGGAAAGGTGGAAGCACAGAGCAGGTCAGCAAGAGAGCAAGGACCAGACCCCTGGATATAGCGTCTCCCTGGGAAGGATGCCCCAGATGCCCCCCCCCATTCGCAGACTCCGTGTCTGCCACTGGTTCTTACCTCTCCCAGGGTCTGGTCCAGGTGTGGTTCCTTGCAGCCTGGAGACGGGGCTCAGCCCATTTAGGGGATTGTTGGGGGTGTCATTGCTTCTCAACTAACTTGACCGGGCCTCTGCCACCCCTCATTGCCACGGGGCATTTTTAAATGGCTGGCACGGGGCCCCCCTCCCCTTAGCCCCTTGCCCGCTGCTCCTTGGCCACAGAGGCCCCTCTGCCTTTTACCTTATATGAGCTGAAGAGGCGAGCCCGGTGTTGGGGTGAGGCGGTGCGGAGTCCTCCCGGGGCCCCCCATTGGCCCGAGCGCCCGCCACGTGACCGCCTCGCCTTGACCTGCCCCCGGTGCCGAATGTTGCTTTTACCCCCTAAGGAAGGAGTGGTTGACAATTTTCATATTTCTTCTAAATTTGGAGATTTCAGACAATGCTGGGAGGCTTGGCTCCAGCTGCCAGAGGCCCATGTGGAAGTCATTAAGCCCGAGAAGGGGGGCCGGGGGAGAGAGGGAGGCAGGGAGAGGAGGAGGAGGAGGAGGAAGGGGGACGGAGTTCTGAGGGTTGCCAGTTGTCAGCCTGGGAACATGAGCAAACTCCCTGGGAGTTTGCTGTGTGTGAGAATTTCCTTCCTCTTTCCCGACCTAGTGTCCCAGGACTGGAGAGGGAGTTCTGAGATTTTTCTGGGAACCCCTGGTGGGGAAGACACTAGTCCTGGCTCCTGAGGTCCAGTGGTCTGGTGGGAATGGCAGGGGACGGGAGACCATGAAAAATTCAATTCCCTCTCCAGAAAGCTGGGACCTTGATAGGCCAACCCCATCATTGTGCAAAGAAGGTCCAGGGCCCCAGAGGGGAAGGGCCTGTCCGGCCACATACGAGGCCGTGATGGCGTAGGAGCTTGGAACCAGGCTCTCCCTGCTGGGGCTCTTTCCCCACTGTCCCAATGGTGAGAAATGCCCATCTCTCGCCCTACGCCCCCTTCCTCATTATGCTTCCCATAGATTCCTTCGCATTTTTCATGCCCGGGACTTTGCACTTGCAAGTTCTCTCTGCCAAAAGTGCCCTCTCCCCAGAGTTTTCCATAGCTGGCTCCTTCTCCAGCATCTGGTCTCAGCTTAAAAGTGACGTCTGGGAGAGGCTTTGCCTGGCCACTGCATTCCCCTCTACCACTCCCCTTGCTGGTTGCCTTGCATGGTGCTGATTTTATACGTTTCTTGGTTTAGTTGCTCATTGTCTAGCATTTCCAGGAGAGTGTGACCCCCCACCCCCACCCCCGGACAGGGTCTGTGTCCCCAGGCCTCCCACAGTGCCCTCGAAGAACGGCGAGAAAGCGGTCTTCCGCGGGGCGGCCTCCATCATAGCATGGGAATAGCCTCTTTGAGGCCCACGGAGGCCTCCTGCTGGCGGCTGGCCGTGCCCTGTGTCAAGCACGGCTACCTCGTCCTTGCCTTTGTTGCTCAGAGCTTCCCATCTGTGGCCAGGCTGGCTGGACCCCAACCACGTCTGTTCACATTCTCGTTCAGTCTCCCAGACCCCCGGCTGGTACTGCTGCCCCAGCCCGTCTCCTTCCTCGGGGCCAGGATTCCCTCCAGCACACGGCCGTGTGCCGTCCCGCGTGGGGCGGCGGAGTGTCCCTGAGGCGGGTGGGGTGCTGAGCCTGACACTAGCCCTGCCCTTCAGAGGCTCCTTATCTGGTAGGAAAATCTTCACCCCTGCCTTGTTCCTTCTGAGGAAAGAATGCGGTCATGTCAGGAGGCCTGTGCACTCACTCCCGTCTTTGCCACGTCCTAGCTGGGAGGTCTGGGCACAGTTTTCTACCTGCAGCTCTGAGCCTCCTTTTCCCCCTCTGTGAAATGGGTCAAGCCTGCCTTGCGGTGTTGCCATGGGGGTCAGGTGGGGGCGGGCACCTGCAGGCCTGGGGGGAGCGGGTCAAGCAGAGGCTCTGGAGTCAGACTTAGACTAAGCTCAGCACTACGTCTGCTGCTTCCCGAGGGGGTGGATGGGAGTGGGCTTGGGAAAGTTCTTTGCATCTGTGCACTTCGCTTTCCTCCTCTGTAGCATGGAGCAGGAAACAGTCCCTACCTCCCAGGGTTGCTGTGAAGACGAAATGAGACCCTGCTAGGAAGGGGTAGGCCTGTGTCAACTTGTGAGTGCTCAGTAGATGTTTGGTACTATTTATTAAGGTTTATGATACCAGACCCAATACAGGCCGACCTGCCATGCCTTTCATGTCATCCCCTTCCTTCCCGGACCAAGCACATGGGTTCCCTTCATAAGCTCATCCCCAGACAAGGAAGGCTTGTGACCCTCCCTCCCCACCCTGCTCAGTGTTCGAGTTTATCACTCCAAAGCACCACCAACAGATCCCGGGGTATAGCTAAAACCAGCCCCTAGAACTATCAAAATTATGGAAAATCCTCTTTGGAGACTGCAAAACTTAAGTTATGCTTCTGTTAATCCTGCTACTGCATAAGCATCAAAGATTTTCCATCAAGACAGAAAAGAAAAACAGAACAGCTACCAGTGTAAGTTGTAGAGAGACCCACCATTTCAAAACCCGAGAACCCTGTGGCTGGCTGAGCAGTGAGTTGGCTGCCTGCGAGCCAGCAGGCCCTGTTATCAGGAGGTCCATCACCAGAGGTCAGGACAAGGAATTGGAGTGGCCTGGAGACAGATCCAAGGACAGGCGGTGTCCCGGCACCACAATATTTTAAAAGCCTAACTAAATGGTAGCCATTTGAGACTCGTCTCTATAAATCTGTCTCAGACATTTTGAAACCCGTTTCTATTTCCTCTCATACTTTCTCTTGGGAGTTATGAGTGCTTTATGTTTATTAACCACTCTGTGAAGTGGCTTTTCTTTCCAGACTGTGGCAAAGCAGCCTTGAAATCCCCGCGCTCCCAGAGGAAACAGGTCAATGAGACTTGGGCTTAGTGTGTATGAGTAAGGCATCCTGGGAGGGGAACGGGGCTTCTTGTTAGGAGGTGGATATGAGAGTGTGCTTGGTGAGTTCTGTGTCTTCAGAGGGTGGGTGCAGCTAGGGGCAAGGGGAATCCTAACCAGGACGGTGAAGGGCTTAGAGAACAGGAGACCCACGGGATCTGGAAGAGCTGTCTTATCTCTACAGGTGATCAAGGAAGAGATTGAGGTGGTACAATTGGGACCTCCAGGGAGATAGAGTTTATGTCTACATAAGAAGGACTCTTTAAGTCAGTGGACCTACCCGAGGATGAAATGGGCTAATGAGTTGTCTCGGTAAAGTGATGAGTTCTCTGTCACTAGAGGAATGCAAGCAGAGACTGGATGGTAAGTCTTTTCCAGCCCAGAGATCCTATGACCCCAACCTTTCCCTACCCCCTAGCCCCAACTTCATACTCATCTGACCCAAAAGGCATGTCAGAGGTGATTGGTTGGGAGATATTCATGGATTGAAAAGGGCCATCACCCTTGAGTTAAAAAGCAAGCTTCATATATTTTCTTTGGTGAGCATAAGACTTTTGTGTCATTGATTGAGTTTGATTCTGAGAGGAAAGTAACAGTGAAGAGATGCTTAGAATGGTAATTAAGCCCATTTCTCAAAGACATCATTGCACAGACAGCTGTCCTCAGTGTATTATCGAGGTTAAAAATCCTAGTACAGATGAAAATACATGGTATAATTCCATTTCAGTAAAATGGTGTACTATAATGAAATACCACTTCACATCCATTAGGAGGGCAATAATAATAATAGTAGTAGTAGTAATAACCCCTAAATACTTAGATACTTGTACATTGATGTTCACAGCAGCATTATTCATAATAGCCAAAATGTGAAAACAACCCAAGTGCCCATCAGTGGACGAAAGGATAGATACAATGTGGCATATATGCACAATGAAGTATTACTCAGCCACTAAAAAGAACAAGATTCTGGTACATGCAACAACATGGGTGAACCTTGAACGCATTATGCTAAGTGAAATAGGTCAGACCCAAAAGGGCAAATGCTGTGAGATTCCTAGAATAGAAAATTCATCAAGGGGCGCCTGGGTGGCTCAGTCGTTAAGCGTCTGCCTTCGGCTCAGGTCATGATCCCGGGGTCCTGGGATCGAGCCGCATCGGGCTCCCTGCTCCGCGGGAGGCCTGCTTCTCCCTCTCCCACTCCCCCTGCTTGTATTCCCTCTCTCGCTGTTTCATTCTCTGTCAAATGAATAAATAAGATCTTAAAAAAAAAAATTCATCGAGATGGAGAGTAGAATCTTGGTTGCCCGGAGCGGGCTGGAGGGGAATGGGGGGTTACTGTTCAACGGGTAAAGGCACACGAGTCTTTGACAACATTCTTTTGTTACAGCTCACAAATGCGAGTTGCGCAAGGTCAGAAATTGAATAGGGTGCGAAAGGTCCAGGGAATTAGGACGAGTCAGCGTTCAGCTGAGGAAACCACTCCTGCTCATCCAAGCAGAAAGGAAGTCACTACGGGGAACTGGGCGCTCCCACCGTTGTTAGGAAGGCTGAAGAAGCTTCCGGCAGGGCTGTTAAGGACTCCGCTGCTGACACCGCAGGGCTGTCCCTCCAGGGCGGTCAACACGGCCGCTGCTGTCAGAAGTGCTGGGCTCCGAAAGGGCGGCTCCACGGTGGGCTCGAAGGACACACCGTTGCAGATGAGTGCAGGGGTCAGGAAGCCACCCTCACCTCTTCCACAGCTGCCCCTCCTTACCCACAAAGTCGGCAAGGGCTCTATATTAGGCCCTTTACCAGTTTCTTCCTCCCCCTCCCCCACAAAGCTTTATGTTTCCATTTGGTTTCCAGCTGGGGAGAGGTCTCCAGGGTGGATTAAAAGCTGCCTAGGGGCTGCAGGGAGAGGCTCAGGCGGAAGGGGCACGCCCGAGGGCCCCCTCCAAGGCCGCTGGGCTCTGGAGGCTCCTAGTCATGCTTGAGGGTGAGCCTGTGGAAGAGATACTCGTCCAGCCCGCCTGGGGGCCTGTCAGCCTGCAGAGGTGGGTCAGGCAGTCACCATCTTCTTGATGAGTTTCACCTCCCCACCCAAGAAGTGGTTCTTCAGGTCACAGAAAAGGGGGTCTGTGCAGCAGAACCCAGGGCATGCAGCTCCAGAAGAGCCTGCTTCAAATTTTTCTCCAGGTCCATGGGGCTTCCATGGCATCCATGCCCGTTGGGATGGCTTCTGCAGGTCCCGGAAGAGGGCACAGCCAGTGTGCTGGTTTTGCATCTTCAAGAGCTCG